GAGTTGCTCTGTCCCGGGCTTCCTGGAATCAGCCGCTGATCAGTTTCAGCAGCAGCTGACTTGGGGACGCCTGGGGTTCTTAAGTTGAATCTCTATGTAAGTCGGAACTGGCGTCCAGATTCAGCCTGTTGAAACTGATCAGAGGCTGATTCCAGGAAGCCCGGGGCAGAGCAACTCTGCCGCGGGCTTCCTGTAGTCAGCCGCTGGTCAGTTTCAGCAGCAGCTGAATCTGAACGCTAGTTCCGACTTACATAGAGATTCAACTTAAGAACAAACCTACAGTCCCTATCTTATACGTAACCCGGGGACTGCGTCCAGATTCAGCCTGTTGAAACTGATCAGAGGCTGATTCCAGGAAGCCCGGGGCAGAGCAACTCTGCCGCGGGCTTCCTGTAGTCAGCCGCTGGTCAGTTTCAGCAGCAGCTGAATCTGAACGCTAGTTCCGACTTACATAGAGATTCAACTTAAGAACAAACCTACAGTCCCTATCTTATACGTAACCCGGGGACTGCCTGTACTGAACTCTGGTGAAAGTCACCAGAGCACCTAGAACTAGAACTTGTTGCAGTACTAAGACAGCTATTCAGAATAGGAGCCTCTTCTGCAATTACAGAAAGAATATTTTCTTCATTTCAGTGTATTCAAGTAATTCAGTGCAATGTCTAGCTCATTCAAAGTCAAGAAAACATTTGGGAACTGAAAAAGCAGGGGAGCTTCTTTGCCTCTCCAAAGCCATGGATAAAAATTAGATGTAAGAAGAGAATACAAGTTCCAAAACTTTGATTGACACCTTACTAGAAACAGTCACTTCAAGTTACTAACTACAAAAAAATACCTCTTTTGTTTAATAAAACAATTAATTTAAAATGCAAAACATATTTTAATAACTTTTTCATATTTTTTCCTATGTATATAGGATGTTTAAGTTAGTTTTATTTGATTTTTTAAAGAGCTTTTTTGTACATTTTTAGGTAAACTTGCACTTCCACCCATATAGAGCTTGACACCATTTACAAGTAAATTAATCAGAAATACATAAATCACCTATTTCTTACACAGTAAAATGTAAAAATTAAGACTATATTGGGGTGGGGAACTTCTGATGCACCGGCCACATGTGATTCATCAAGGTTAGCCTGCCAGATAGTTTACCTTAACGTCCACATGTACAGAACCCCACAACTCCCAGGAGCCATGGTTTCCTGTTTCTAGCCAATAGGAGCTGTGAAAAGTTGTGCAGGCCAGGCCACAGCTTCCTGTAGCTCCCCTGAACCAGGAATAGTGAACTGCAGCCATGGAGAGCTGTGGGCAACCATGCCTGAAGGCGCTCAGGTAAACAAAGAATCTAGTGCCTCACTAGCAGCTAACCCTGATGAACCACATCCTGCCCATGGGCTGGAGGTTCCCCACCCCACTACATATACAGGCAGTCCCCGGGTTACGTACAAGATAGGGACTGTAGGTTTGTTCTTAAGTTGAATTTGTATGTAAGTCGGAACTGGTACATATTGTAGGGGAAACTCTAGCCAAACATTTCTCCAGAGCTCAGTTTTATTCTCCCACACCTCACTTCCCTCAGTGTATGTCTACACTACCCCCCTAGTTCGAACTAGGGGGGGTAATGTAGTCATACGGAGTTGCAAATGAAGCCCGGGAAATTCAAATCCCGGGCTTCATTTGCAACTCCGTATGACTACATTACCCCCCCTAGTTCGAACTAGGGGGGGTAATGTAGTCATACGGAGTTGCAAATGAAGCCCGGGAAATTCAAATCCCGGGCTTCATTTGCAACTCCGTATGACTACATTACCCCCCCTAGTTCGAACTAGGGGGGTAGTGTAGACATACCCTCAGTCCTTTATTCTCAAGCTGAGGTATCTGCTGAGAAAAGCCGCTCCGCGTCTCCCTGGTCTGCTGGGGGGAAGCAGCTAGTGCGGGGTTGCCTCACCCCGTCTGTAAGTAGGGATCCAATGTAAGTTGGATCCATGTAACCCGGGGACTGCCTGTATTCCTTTTAAAGCAATATTTATTTATTTAGTGTATCCTCTTGGTTAATAAAAAGAAATATTAAATTTAGATAAGGGCTATATTTAGTTGCAAAACAATGTTTCAATGGTTATCAACCAATATGAATCAACCTCTCTTTAGGAATATAGCTAAACAGTACAAATGAAAAATACAATTAAAATTGATTTTTAAATCAGTGTTTCCTGCTTGTCGATTTAAATTACTGGTAAAAGTCTGTTACTTAAATTGTTCTATTTAAACAATCCATGGCATTCTATTACGTCATCCTCATTGAGATTAATAAATATCTGCATTTATATTCGATCTTGCTTCATGCCCTTTGCTGATTCAAGCATGAAGCTCTGAAACATATTTTGGGCTAGATTTATAAAGGGAATTTGGGTACCTAAATCCAATATTTAGGTAATGACATTCACAAATCCTCATCTCAGCTACTGTAGGTGCTCAAACCCCTAAATATTTAAGATTCTGCTAATGGGTATGCACAAAGCTGTTTGGGTATGTCTACACTAGCCCCCTAGTTTGAACTAGGGAGGCTAATGCAGGCATTCGAAATTGCAAATCAAGCCCGGGATTTAAATATCCCACGCTTGATTTGCATCTTCCCGGCTGGTCGCCATTTTTGAAATTTACAAGTCCGGACTAACTGCCCACGTCTACATGCGGCAGGGACCTGGTAGTTCTAAATAAAGCCCTAATTCGAACTACCTGTTATTCCTCCTGGAATGAGGTTTAACAGGTAGTTCGATTTAGGGCTTTATTTCAAACTACCGGGTCCCTGCCACGTGTAGACACGGGCAGTTAGTCCAGACTTGTAAATTTCAAAAAATGGTGACCGGCCGGGAAGATACAAATCAAGAGCGGGATATTTAAATCCCGGGCTTGATTTGCAATTTTGAATGCCTACATTAGCCTCCCTAGTTCGAACTAGGGGCCTAGTGTAGACATACCCTTTAAGTCCAGATCCGATCCTACAGTTAAGAAGTAGTTCTGATCCTTTGCTCATATGCAAGTCCTGATAAGATACCCAAACTAGGTGTTTCCCCCCACAGGCCCTGATAAGGTGAATGCCCTTGCCTAGCCAATGGGCTATAATGGGTGGGTAGGTGAGTGGTTCTCTCTCCCTTCCCACCCCCCAAGAAAAGGCTGTTCTGGCTTATGTGCCTAACTTGAACAAAGAGTTCAGGTCTGAGAATTCCAAATGCACATAGAAACCTAAGGCCCAGATCAATGGGAGTAAAATGCCTAAGCACTGCTGTGAATCTTGGCTCTAAATCCTGCCCCTTTCCATTTGCATTTCACTTCTGGCTAGCTTATGTGGCATCCCACTCAGTTTCCTTATTTCTCAGCATCCCCATCTTAGATGCCAAGGCTCCCCATGCGTACAGGGAGAATTAAGCACCTAACTTGAGGCTCTGAATTCTACTTGTTGACAGGCATCTAGGAATTAGGCACTGCTACACTGAGTGTTACAATGTTTAAATCCCCTTTGCCCTTACTAATCCAGAGAGTGGTACAACTAGATCAACATAACCTTCTAAAAATATCATTGTTATACAAAAAAGTTCTGCTTTACTGTACGTAATAAAACAGTGAAGAAAATTCTAAACAAAATTTTAGATGCTTTGCTAATTTTACATATTTTAGAATATTTATTATTTTAAAAAGAGAAAATAGTGATTGCAATCCTACTCATCATCACTGTTTAACGTAGCTATCGACAAAATCTGACACACACAAAAAACTCAAGTCTTACCGTCTTGTGTTTGTATCCAAGGAAATGAGTCTGCAAGTTTAATGCAGAAGCACACGAGATTTTGCAAATCTAGGTTAAAAAGATTTATAATTATTTCCATAATACTATGCAAGCAACAGAAAAATACTATAATACTAGAAAATGTTACTAATGTTTAATATAATCAAAATATCTCAGTTTAATAAACTCCAGTTATACCACTAAGATTGTATAGATTGATTTCACAACTGAAACACAACTCCTCTGATGTCAGATGGAACAGCAGCCAACACTATTCACTGGATACCAAAGAGGAGGATCTAAGCACTGTCTTTCATTTAAAAGTCCCTCTCCATAGCATAAGATAGCTTTGGGTGCTCCCAAACTCTTCAAAAACATTCAGCTGTAGTGCACCAGAGTGTACAGTCTGATTAAGAGATGTATAGAAAGGTGATCTTCAAAAAGATGATCAAAATAAAGAACACAAACCTCAAGCTCTCAAGAAATTTGAAATCTCTGACCAAGAAGTGTAGTGTCTCTCTTCTGTTGTGCAAGTGATAGAAATGTAGCCGTGTTAGTGTGGTGTAGCTAAAGCAAAATACAGGACTATGTAGCACTTTAAAGACTAACAAGATGGTTTATTAGATGATGAGCTTTCGTGGGCCAGACCCACTTCCTCAGATCGGAGGTTTTTTTTAAAAAAGCGGCAGTCTAGATGCGGATCTGTTGTCAGATCCTGTAAACATCATTTTTTGAGGAATACAGGATCTGTTGAAAAAGGCTTTATTTTCGACAGATCCGCATCTAGACTGCTATTTTTTTCCGGAAAAAAACCCCTCCATTTAAAAAAAAAAAGCGGCAGCCATGTTTATGCTAATGAGGAGTGAGATATTTAAATCCCGGCTTCATTAGCAATTTCGACGTGCTTGATTTGCATCCCTCTGTCGACAGAGGGATGCAGTCTAGACGTAGCCCAAATGAGATTCCTTGGGGAGAGATATGGGGGATAAATATCTCCCTGCATCATATCTTATTCTCCATATTCCCTGCCTTAGCTCAGCTCCCCTTCTAAGCAAAATAGCCCTACACTACGCAAAGGCTTCTTATGTTCAAATTTGAAGAAATTAAGTTTAAAAAAAGATTTTATATTTGGGTTTTTTATACTTTGGCTTTGGTTCTGTGGTGAGGCGCAGAGTGCATACTCACTGCACAACTACCTTCCGTTTTACCCATGTCCCTTCCTAAATTAGAAAACCTCTCCTGTCCAAACTCACATAACACTCAGCTCCACCATTCCACAGCATTCTAATCTAAATATTCTGGAGGTGGGATTCTGTGGTGATAATTTCCCCCTATCCTGTAATATACAGTTTTCTGGAGCGTAGTTGGCTGGTTTGACACATCATCCATCTTCTTTCTCCAGGAGGCTGCCAAGGAGGGTTCACTATCCCCTGAAATCCATTTGGCAGAGAGGGCTTGCAAAGGAAGAGCCCTTTCCCACTGAGCAAAGCCGTTACTTGCAACCAGACTAAAAAGTAGGGCTATGGTTCTACCTTTTATGGGTAGACCAATGATTCTCTAACTCCCAGAGTTGGTACTTTCCCCTGATGGCAAGTCCTCACAATTCACAGGCAAGAGTTTCTCTCTCATGCTCTGCCTATTTTATTTATTTATTTATTTAAAATATTTTTACTCTGCCTCTCTATTTAAAATATCTGAGGTGATTTACAACATTTTTAAAAACACAATAAATAAAGTAAAATACAGGACCCCAAAGGGGGGGGGGAGAATAAAATCTGCTGAAACACCTCAAGAGGAGGGACACACACAACTAATATCCTCACCACCTGCCTAATGCCCTCAACACTTCTGCTGACCTGACTGCATGTACTTCATACTCACAAAATCCTGCTGCCTCTCAACACTGATACTGACTTCTATTTATTAAGCCTCCCCTCTCCTACTTCCTCTCACCTCCACTGCCCCTTCACTTACCTGACCCTTTGCCCAAAACCAGTCTCTTTTCCCTCATGCTCACTTGGTGTCCACCATAGCCTTTGTCAGACAAGCACTATTTCTCATAGTCTGACAATTTCTGCACTACCTTGTCATCCAATGCACTTCAGTTGCTTTATAATTCAGTTCTGTTACACCTCCCTTCTACCCCATCCACAAATCCATTTGCCCGCCAGCCACCACACATTCTCCCATCTCCTTCCTCAAGTCCTGAATGCCCATCTCCCATGTCTGCTTTCTCACTTCCACCCCACAGGAACACGAGACTCTTGCTATCTCCTTTCCTCATGCACTTTACGACTTCCATTTATCCCCATCCCTTCATGACACACACTCCCAATCATCTCTCTCCAATGTTCCCCTGGGGTATGTCTATACAAACACCAGAGATACGAACTGTCTGATCAAGCATATTATCTCGTTTGGAACTGGAAGTACGCAATCAAGTAGTATAGGCAAAAATACTGTGCAATATTGCATTAAATATAAACTATTAAAAATAAAATAAATTTAAAAAAAGATTTGACAAAATTAGAAAACTTTCTGTGCTTCTTTCATTTCAATTAAAATAATTAAAAGCAGCATTTTTCTTCTGCATAGTAAAGTTTCAAAGTTGAATTAAGTCAATGTTCAAGCTGTAAAATTTTAATGGAACCACCATAACCTTTGTTCAGATTTACAAACATTTCAGAGTTAAGAACCACCACCATTAGCAAGGTGTTTGTAACTCTGAGGTTCTACTGTACTGCAACTGGAGGTGCAATTGCAACTCTGGTATATACCTGCTTTAGCTTTAATCTAAGTTACCAACAGCAATGCCTTCAGCATGAGATAGAAACAGTATTCCAAAACCAGGATTCCAAGTGCCCTTATAAAGTCCCACTGAAGTTCAGCACTGCAGCAGCATCATATCTACAGGCAGTCCCCGACTTACGCGGATCCGACTTATGTCGGATCCGCACTTACGAACGGGGCTTTTCTCGCCCCGGAGCTCACGGGCGGCGGGTCGCCACCCGTGTCCTCCAGGGCGAGAAAAGCTTCTCCCGGTCTCCCTGGTCTGCTGGGGGGGTCCAGCGGCTTTTCTGGACC